GTTGGTTCCACAGGAGAGGAGCCTGAGAACTAAAAGATCTGCCTTTCGTTCTACTTTCAAAAGCAATTGGAACTTTATTCACACGTTAAAGGTCTGCTGTTAGTAAGTTACATAAACTTAAAATAAATAGGGCTTAAAGGAGAGAAATATCACTGCCCAAATTTCCTTCTGATTACCACCATCATCAATGCCTGACTCATGTTTGAAACAGTTAAAGCAAAGCTTAACGAGATTTTCTGTTAGCAATAAGGCTGACATCAAAGATATTAATCAGCATCTAACTTGTTAGTTAATTTGTACACTGGAGTCTAATAAGCAATTTGCTAAAAGAATAACTAAACAATTAACCACAAACTGTGAACAGAATATAAACATTTTACATTTGAGATAAAAAGTCTCTCATCTGCGAAGATATGCACAAACTAGATCTTCTTAAATGGGGTGAATTTTGTTGCAATTAGGCACCTGTTGCTATACAGTTATTATAGCAATTTTGTAAATCAAAATAAATCAGTAAAAATCCTCCTATTTTCTGGACTTCATTAATTAAATTGCAATATTGTCGATGATTTAAATAATTTTAGGAGGTTTTTTACAATTCAAAAAATATGAAATTCTAAAAGTTTGCCTTATTGTTATTTGATTATGAGCATTAAAAAAATATTTTACAATTGAGTGTCTTGACTGACTTATCCCACCATAGACACCAAAACAGTATAAATTAGTATTCAGCTATTTTAAATATGTTGTCCTTTTCATTAATTAACCAATATTAAAAATTTAATCTTTAATCATTCAGTTATGAGTCATTGTCTTATTAAATTAAAATCCTACTTGTATTTAGTCACAATTCATCCAGATTTAATAAATATTTTAGATCATAAAAGGTTTTTACTTTGAAAATGGAGTAACTGAGTGACTAATTACTATAAGTGACTGGTAATATTTCCAAACTGTCAATCAGGCTGTTTATTTTCTCCCTGGCAGGTTCTCTAGAGGTCATCCTCGTACGAATGTGTCGGGTTTTTGACCCTCAGAACAACACTGTCTACTTTGATGGGAAATTTGCCGGCCCTGACGTATTCAAATCATTAGGTGTGTGGAGCATCTGCCAGCAGCTGTAGCTGATATTCCAGTCAGATTTATTCAATTAAAGCACTTGACCGCCTATAGGGATGTTGCCTAAGCTGCTCTCCTGTTTGTTTTCACCAGGATGCGATGACTTGATCGCGTCTGTGTTTGATTTCGCTAAGAGCATGTGTTCGCTGCACCTGGAAGAGGAAGAGATCGCCCTTTTCTCTGCATCTGTTCTGCTCTCCGCAGGTACGCGCTCCGACTTTACACGCAGCACCGTTCTGAAGCTGCTTTTATTCATGCCTGTGTTCATGTTGCTGCGTTTCTGCAGACAGGTCGTGGCTGCGGGACAAGCTGCAGGTGGAGAGGCTTCAGCAGAAGACAGAGTCTGCTCTGCAGCACGTTCTGCAGAAAAACCACAGAGACGATGGACTGTTTGAGAAGGTAGTCAACAGAGCACTTATAGAGAGGAAGTTGTTGATCAGTCAGTGTGCCACTGCTAGTATTCTTAGATTGTAAACACAAAGCAATCAAAAAAAGCAGCATGCTACATGAAACTGCTGTTATGCTGCAACCTTGTGGAAAATATCTGAATTGCAACTCTAAAACCTAATTAAGCTTTAAAGGGGTCATAGAATGGTTCTACAGGGTATTTGGTCCTTAAGGTCTCTGAATAGGGTGTGTAACATTGGTTTGGCTGAAAATGGCATATTTGCTCTTCTATGAGCCCTAATGTAACCCTGGTTAAAAGCCCTAGAATGAAACAACAGGTTTTCTTCCTTTTATGGTATGCTCATGAATATTTAGATGAGCTGTGCTCTGATTGGTTGGTTTACAACAAGCTGAGTAAAGACGCATCATAGCAACAAGCACTCACTCACTGAAACATCAAATTGTTGATATGGTAGGGTGACCAGACGTCCTCTTTTTCCCGGACATGTCCTACTTTTCATACCTAAAAAAATGTCCGGGGGGAATTTCAAAATCGTCCGGGATTTTGGTCAAACACAGAACCGAGCCGCCAGCTCCGGTGCTGCTCCGGGAACTCCAGTGGACGGGGGGAGGGAGCCAGCGGTGGACAGAACGACCGAACCAGACCAGGTGATGGTAGCCGCGGCCCCGTGCACGGGAAGGCATGCGGGGGGAAGCATATCCAGCTTCGGTCGCTCCGTCCCCCAGCGGGGGTTCCGGGACTAGCCCCGGATTTCACGGCTTGGTTCGAATGGCCGGTCCGCAGTCAGCAGCCTTTGTACTGATACCAGAATTCCCCCGTTTTGGAAACAGTAAAGGGATTTTCTATTCTTTTCTATTCCATATTTTCTGATCAAAATAAATGATGAGGTCTGAATGAAATGCGAATCAGTGTAATCCTCTGGCTCCAGGGCTCTACACTAAGCTTTGCATAGATAATCACAATTTAAAGATTAATTATCAATCTGATGAAAATAAAGGGATTTGTTTGAAGCAAATTTCTTCAAAAACTTTGTAGGAAATGGTGCTTCAAGTTCTTCACTATATATATGTATATATATAAAATCTTCTCCTGTTGCAGTTTCACTCCCCCTCCACAGTAACCTTTACTTCTCCAAATCGGTTTGAGCTGAGCTTGTTTAGTTTATGTACATTTTAGATTTAGATAAAATATATACTTTAATAAAATTCAAGGATATGGTCAAGGAAAAAACATCATAAATATCCAAGTTTTGAAAATGTATCTGGCTATGTATGAGGCTAACAAGCCAAACGCTGTTCCTGTGTTCTGTGCTCCCTCCCCAGCTCAGGACTAAGGTGTCGGCGCTGCGTTCTCTGTGCGCTCTGCATTCGCAGAAACTGTCTGCATTCCGAGCCGTTTACCCCGACACGGTCCGAACGCTCTTCCCTCCTCTCTATAAGGAGCTGTTCGCCGCCGACCTGGACGGGACGCCGCCCGCCGCAGACTGACCCCAGATGTCTGAACTCGCCACGCCATGAACCCATGTGGATCCGGTGAGGCGTCTGAAACCAGACGTTCTTCAGCGTCACCTTTTTTCTTCAGTTGTTGCACTATTGCACTGGACTCTGCACTGATACAGGAACGGTAACCAGGGGTTACATGGAAGCGCATGGACTTCCTGCAGCTCTGCTGCTCGGTCTGTATTTTTAATGAACTCACAACTAACTGAGCAATACATGTCAAAGACCATCGTTGTCATTCATCGCATTTTCTAAAATGCTTAATTTCTACAACTTGAGACTTTTATACAGTAAAGAAGACGCAGTTTATATGTAAATATTGTTTAGTTGTTTAGTCATCCTCTACTTTAATGACTCCGAGAAGAAAGAAGTTTCACACTGATGTTCAGAGGAGCTTAATTTGAGTCAGTTTTTATCAGCTGAGATTTATTGTTATCATAAAACACCTGATAAGTTTCCCTGGGAAATGTTAGAGATCACTTCACATAATGCATGTTCAGTTAGACGTAAATCTAAGCCAAAAACGACACCTAACTTTTTTTTTTTTTTTTTGCTGCTGGACGTCCTGACTTAGTGAAGCTGAGTTAATCAAGATGTTTCATTCAAAGGATGAATAACAGTCCCTATGCCGTCTCTTTGTTGGTTTATTAAACCACACAGGAAGGTGTGGTCATCCAGGGTCTCATCAGCGCTCCTTGCAGCCGTAGCATCTAAACAGCAGGGTTAAGTTTGAGTGGAGCTAACCGATGAGCTACGGGATGTAGCTCATCGGTTAGCTGCACTCAAACTGTCTCCAGTTAATCTTTGCATGCCGGTCTCCTCTGTTAGAGATTCTCATGGTTCACAAACTTTTAATACAGGTAAAGTGACGGTTTGCCCTATTGCTGAACATAATCTGCTTTTACTTTGGAAAAAACACAAAAACAGTCCCATTACTTTATGTCTGATAAATAAAGTCTCTTTCACGTTCCCCTCATTCTAAAAAAAGGAGCATTCAAGCTGTGAAAACTTACGGAGCGCCACCAACTCTCATTGCCATGTTTGTAAATTTATGGAAAGTCATTTTGGACATTAATCTCATAAGGCACCTGAAGGTTAAACATTAGCACAACTTGAAGTGAACTTGAAGCTCTGCACAGATCCTCACTTTCAGTCGTTCACAATCTTGATTTTTTTTTTATTTTTAAAGCTTATTTATAACCATCTAATGTTTTACTTATTTCGATCAACTTTTTTTATCAAAATGGGTTAAAATCAGAGCTTAGTTATTCAACGTAAATTAAACTGTGCTTCACTGTTTCAACACCAGGTGGCGCTTGTTATGCAGCATCCTGTGTTTTTTAAGCTGTAGTGATGGTGAATGTTTCCAGGTCTGCTTTGTCTTCTCCTCCTTCAGCCGATTTTTTTTTATAAATCATTTCCTGACTTTTTCTGCCCTTCTAACTTAAAAAGCTGACAGCTCTATCTTTGGCTCCATTTTTCAATTCACTGCAATTCAATCCCTTTGGCTCTACTGTATCTAAAAAAAAAAAGATCTTTGTTTATTTTTTAAAACAGTAGAAAGATTTCTTTTGATCTTATTCAAATAATTTTTGCATCACCAGAATGTTCAGCTTCTAAATAACAATGTTTGGTCATATTTTTAATTTTCTTGTTTAGATTTGCTGACTAACCTTAAAGAGAATTATATATATAGTGTTTAAAAAAACAACAACATTAAAATGAGCAATAAGATAAATCTTAAGCAGACGAATGGAATGACAGGAAATTAATTGTTATAATGTGTGTCTAAAAAATAAGATTCTAACGATCAAACCAGTCTGAAACTTTGATTTGGGAATTGTGTTTTTCCCTTTTCATCATTTTTAATGCAAAAGCTTTTTTAGAAGGTTGAAGATGTTTACAGGTGGAGAATAAGTCTGCAGTAACATTCAATGACGATGCAAACACTGTAGAGATTCTAAAGCAATAAACACTCAGATCCATCCTAGATGGTTTTCAGGCAAAAGAAAGAAAGTAAAATATTAAAGATCCAAATTGGATGAAAATACTTTCAGTTCATATTTGACATTATGGAAATATTAAAGCATGGCATCCATCCCAGCTCCTCCTGCTGCAGAGCTGAGAAGTATTAAAATCATTTGATCAAATGCATCTCGGATCAGGTATTGATCTCATTACTGAGGTCCAAACAGAACCAGACCTCTAGATTAAAAACTCATTGTTCAGAGATAATCGGTATTTCAGCCATAATGAACTAAAGCAGATGATGCACTATATCTATCATCTATTTTCAAACATTCAGGTTAATCTTTTTTTTTTTATTGTGTTCAATTGTTTCTGTTCTCTTTGGGGATCCTGTTCCGCAGCTGATGAGGGAAACAAACAATTCAGCCTCTTGGATTTTTTTTTTCAATTAAAACCAATAGAAAAGCATTTTAACACAGAAATGTGATACTAGAAAAATGTCCATTAGTTGCAAAGTAGATGGTCAGCATTTGGCTACTTTTGCTTAAATCACTGCATTAATCCGCCGTGGCATGGAGGACAATGTGGTTCTGATGAGGTCCAGGTTGTCGGCTCTGGCCTCTCTTTAATGCTCCATGGATTCTCTGGGGTTCTGGTCCTTCCAGTTTGCTGGTAATGTCATGCTGATTACTGATGGTTTTGGTTTCTTTGGCAGTGCAGGTCTGATCCATGTCCTGCTGTAAAGTGAGAGCAGCATCCTCATAAAGCATACGAAAAATCCAAAACATCCTGCTAGATCATTAAAGTAGCTCCTGTCTGCAGATAGCAGCAACAGAATGAGCTGCAGACCTGCAGCACCATCTGCTGGAACCAATGCTGAACTGCAGAATCATTGTTTCCTCCTTTTATCACATAGTGGTAGTTTTATTTTATGTCTCAAGCATCTTTAATTATTCCTTTAAATCTAAAAACAGCAGCATCTCTGTACTCAGGCCAGTAAAATAAGCAGGAATGTATAAATGTCAAGCAATAATGACATTTGCAATGTTTTACAGAAGTCAATCAGGATTAATCATCCATCTCAGAATAAAAGAATAACGCCTTGTTACAACCCAAACTAACATCCCCATAAAATCCACATTTCTCTATATAGGTTTAATAAAAGGAACGTATGATATATTGCCTAAAAAGGTGAACGCCCCCCCCCCCAAGCTGGGTTCTAGATGATGAGTATTTTTGAACCTGATGTATTCCTGCTACATTTTCATTGATATTTGAACTTTTATGTGACCAATTAATTTAGATAAACGTAAACTAGAACAATAGATGAAGATCAGAAATTTGTAAAGGTGCCAAACCCCCTTAGCTCTGATAATTCTGATAATTTCACCCAAAGTTAAATTCAGTGAAATTTTTATTTGATTTTACTTTTAGAATAAAGTGCGCTGTGGTCCAGGTATTATGTTGACATAGGATGGACATTTCTCCTGTCTTTTTACGTATCCATCCTGAGAACCAAGACTTATGTAAATCAGTGCTTATTTTAGAAAGGATTAAATGTTCCTCCAGATAAATGTAATTTAAGCATCTAGACAAAATGACGATGGATTTCTTAAGTTCAGCCGTAGCTTTAGGATGTAGAAGAATGGAGATTTAATTGACTATTGGTTCCAGAAAAGCTGGTCAAAGTGTTTTAGATACTTCAGATAATCGTTGGTGAAAATCTGTCCATTCTAGAAATTTCCTGGGGTTGATCTTAAAAAAAGGAAATATCAGTGGGTGAAATGCTTCTCTGATGTCAGAGACTAGCGAAGGATGATCCTTCTGGTTCCCGACTGTCCCAAACCGGAAGCAAACTTTGATCTAGAGAGGCTAGAGAGGCCGACGACCAGACCTGGTGTCGCTGCTAAGAACAGGAAACCCGGTTCCCTTCAAACTACTTCAGCAAACAGATTCAGGCTAAACTTATCCAGCTGATGGTCGACAGAAAAGCTGGTGGGTATCCTTCTAGTTGTGGGTTTTTTTATGTTAGAGGTCAAAATGCATCTTATCAACTACAATCAGCTACTTTAAGGCCTTATTTGTGGACTGTTGTCCCTATAATGTTTGTTATACAGTTATAGGAAACATCAGGACCTTTGATGAGGATTCCAATGATCAGCATTTGCAGAACTTTAATAAAACATGTTACAGCAATCCGTCCAAATCCACATTTTCCTTCCTTCTCTCCCAGATCCCAGAGTATATTGCTGGCATGCAGAGTAATTCCCAAACCTTGGTGCAAACCATGCATTCCAGACAGTTTAGCATTTGACCAACTGACAACACATCCCTGACGCACTGCGCCGCCCGAATGCTGACTGACTTTGTTCAGTAGTGCAGCACTTGTTTCAGTTCATTATTTGCGGTGGCAGATCTTAAATGTGCGCACTTTTGATTGAGCATCCAACAGCTGAGGGTCTGCAGTGGGACAGTCGGTGTTCTCCAGCTGAGGATTGCTTAAATTAGGTAACATTATGAAAGCCAGCAGCAATCTCTTTGTGTTACTGCTTATCTTTATTGCTTCGTTAACATCCAACATGTCTGATGCTGAGTTCTTATCATTTGGATTTGTTTGAACTCCTGAGCTTAAAGTTCTCCTCTTGTACCTAAGATCAGGTCAGAATCTATGCATTGAAGTCCTTTATATGAAAATCCAAATGAAGGTATTAGACTCTGCTTTCGTAGAATACAAAGCATGAATGAATTATGTTTTCATAGTCGTCTGAAACGGGTACGATGGGGGTGTTTAGAATTACTGATCACCTGCTTTACCTCATGCTGGTCCGAGATATTTGCATGCAGCTGATGTACAGACCTTAACTGGAACTAAACCCCTAAAGAAGGTCCGGTGCTTGATAGCTGCAGATTGTTCTATTTGCACTTGATGTTTGTGTTTTTTGCATCTTTAATTTTTGCAGAACATCAGATAATTGCTGCTGATTTTATTCTAATCTAACCGTGTTGTTGTGTTTGGGTAACAAACGTTTTAAAAGCGCTTTTGAACTGACTGGCTGTATTTAAATGTCCTAAACAGAAACGCTCAGTTTCATTTCTCATATTGTGACCAGATTTTAGCCATAACTAAATATTCAGCAATAAGCAAACTTTTAATCTTTTGGCGTAGTTTTATCTGTAGGACATGAAAACACATGATGGTTTATTTCATCCTTAAAATGGCCACTTATTAATTTTAGTTTCCTTTGTTTTCTGTTAACAACCTTGTTAATTATTTTGTACAAACCACCAGAAAGTACTGAGCATTGAGCTTTTTATCAGCTGATTCTTATGCATCATAATGTATTATATATTGTTTATATGGACAGGTTTGGTAGTTTACTAACAGAGAAACAATCTCTGTGTTTTTTTATGTGTATTCTGCAAGCTCATTTTTTGTTATCAGGGTATTCATTTAACTATGCCACTTTGTGTGTTTTACTACGATCTAAGACAATAAAGAAAACAACCTGATTTCTGATGGTCTTCCTGGTCGTTTGTCATCATATACGTCCAGGACATCTGTCCAGGTGCTGCTAATCAAATGCACAGAATGAATGGATCTATAAGAGCTGCTCTGGAGCATAAAGGCCTGTGTTAAACCAATCCCAAGGCAGAAGGATATCAGCAATGTTGGAGTGAAACAGCTGTTGCTTCCCATCGATCCTGGAAGCCTCAAAGGGGCATTTCCAGACAGCCTGAAGTCCATCATTTTAC